TTCCCCGTCTTGATTGACGCGCCGCACATTCCCACCGCCCCGCTTCACTATAGGGGGTGGTGCCCGCTTGCGCTCATGTGCGTTTATTGACGCGAAAAGCCTCGGGCCAGGGCCAGGGCCGGGGAGAGAAAGAAGCCGCCAGGCCACGCCCCCGAATCAGGAGGAGCCACGCCCCCCGCTGGCCGCCCCCGCTCCCTCGCGAAGCCTCCAAGTCTTTCCAGCGCCTTCGAAGGGGCGGGTCCGCATGGCTATAAAAGCGCCGCCGCGAAACAGTCGCGGCATCGCTCCGGATCTGCAATCGCGCAGTCGTGAGAAAGGAAGGGAGAAGCGCCTCTGCCTGCCGAGCTACGCCATGGACATCACCATCCACCACCCTTGGATGCGCCGGCCCTTCGGCTTCTCTCCGTTCTTCCCTCCCCGCCTCTTCGACCAGAGGTTCGGCGAGGGGCTGCTGGAATCCGACTTGTTCTCCGGCATGAACACGCTCAGTCCTTACTACTCGCGGGTGCCTCATATCCCGGACACCGGGCTCTCGGAGGTGAGTGGGGGGCGGCTGGGTTGGGCGGTGGGGCTGTCGGAAAAGCATACGGCGGTGCCTTAGAGCATGTGCAGAGTGCTTTTTGCGGTCGTGTGTTTGTTTTCCTCCGTCTTTCTCATTAGCCGTCTGGATTTATTGCCGGGGTGGGTGGGCGTCCAGCCGAGACGTTCTTACTGTGCTCTGTGTGGCAGGACTTGGGTGGGTAATGCCCGGGGAGAAAAATCTGGAAGATGCCAGAGCCGGTTGGTTCTGGACTGAAGCAGGAAAGGGTGCCGGGGTGGGCTTCCCAAGCAATTGGAGTCTGTACTGCTACCTATTTTGGTAAAGTTCTTTCTTCCCTCCCACCCCTGGCGGGCCTTACTGGAGACAATGCCAGGGGGGCTTGGCTGGTCTTGCGTGGAAGGGAATGGCATGGCAGTGCCCGGACCCCCACGCTTGGCTGCTGAGGGCTGAGGTGGAGCTCTGGCTGGAGCCGACTTCAGTTGCAGGAACTGGATGCAAACTGCTTTACAATTAAGGACCCCAAAAAGGGGGAAGCTTACTTAGCTGAACGGTGTCCCCCCAGTGACCGAGACCAACCTGAGGAAGAGCTCTGTGTGGTCTTGCGCTTCTGGAGCTCTGAGGGTTGGTTTGCAGGTGACGGATTTTCTCCTGCAGCGGCTTTTGCTGCTTCAATCACGCCCCTTGGCAGGGATATTGTGTCTCTGCTCTGGCTCTAAATATAGACCGGCACTAGAAATATCACGTAGGTAGGAAAGCTGTGGTACCAGTGAGAATAAAGGAAGAACGCTGAACCTGATGAAGTGTTCTGGAGTGCTCAGAAACTCATGTGCTGTTTCATTTTGGTTGGTCCTCCTAATAAAAGGCCTTGTGAGGCTTCTTCTGGAATTCTAGCCAGTGTCCTGAGTGGCGGCAACAACTGCTTCCGATTGTCTTGTGGGGGGTTCTCTGGGACCCCTGTGGGTGCCTCCAGCCTCCTGAAAAGGGGACTGATTGTAACTTCTGGTCATGTGGGGAGCCGATTGCTGTGATGCCACTTGGCTTCTTGGTTTGGAAATCTGGACTTTGGGCTTGCGAGGCTGTGAACGCCCTCTCCTCTAAAAGAGAGGAAGAAACCCCCACCTCTGAACCTTGGGTCATCAGCCAGTCGAAGCACCGTGACAAACTTGCATGGGCCTGGCTGTTTTACTTGCTTTCAATTTGAGCCAGTTTGGTGTAGTGGTTAAGTGCACGGACTCTAACACCACCCCTATAGATCTATAGGGGGTGGTGACCAGTGTTCCCTCTAAGCTGAGTTAGTGTGAGCTAGCTCACAGTTTTTTAGCCTCCAGCTCACAGATTTTTGTCTTAGCTCAGGAAGGATGGCTAATTTATGCAGTAGCCAAATCACTGGCTCACAGCTTTAATGCCAGTTGCTCACAAAGTAGAAGTTTTGCACACAAGACTCCACAGTTTAGAGGGAACATTGGTGGTGACTCTAATCTGGGAGAACCAGGTTTGATTCCCCACTCCTCCACTTGCACCTGGCTGGATGACCTTGGGCAAGCCGTAGTTCTGATAAGAGCTGTTCTTGAAAAAGAGCAGTTTCTGTCAGAGCTCTCTTAGCCCCACCCACCTCACAGGGTGTCTGTTGTGGGGAGGGGAAGGGAAAGGAGTTTGGAAGCCGCTCTGAGACACCTTAGGGTAGTGAAGGGTGGGATATAAATCCAATCTCTTCTCTTCTTCTTCCTGCTGTTGATGCAAAGGCCCCTTTAAATCCTGCTTTGTACATTTGAGACCTTTCTGGCTATTGTGCGCAGGGACTTTGCAGCCTATTTTGGGAGCCACGAGAGGTTGCAGATCTTCTAAATAAAACTGTTCTTGTATAGTCGGATCTTGGGAGGGTGCAGCACACTGTCTACAGCTGAGACATATTTATCCCCTGCCTTTCTTCACAGTGGGGACCCAAAGCAGCTTACAGCTTCTCTCCCTCTCCTGTGTCTTGTTTCACCAATAACCCCGTTAAGATGAGAGCAAGTGACTGATCCAAAGTCACCCGGGGAGTTTCCATGGTAGAGTGAGGGGTTTGAACCAGATATTGGTCTGACACTTGGACCAGGATGCCTCAGTTGCTCTGCCGTGTAGTGTAGTTAGAGCAGCCCCCAGTGGCTACCAAGGGGGCAGTGTGTGAATCCATCCTGTGCTTGGCAGAAGTAGAGGGAAGCCAATAAGGTGGCAATTTACTTGCCCACACCATGCGCCAGACTTGCGGGGTGGACTTGAGAGAAATGTGAGATGAAACAAGTTAGATGCAAACAACATCAGTTTTATTTCCTTCCAGGTGAAGCTGGATAAAGACAAGTTCTCAGTCCACTTGGATGTGAAACACTTTTCACCAGAGGAGTTGAATGTGAAGGTTGTGGGAGACCACATTGAAGTGCATGCCAAACATGAGGAGCGCCCGGTATGTACCTCTTCTCTGTGGCTTGTCCTAAAAACATGGGTGTAGGCTTGTAAAGTGACTACGGGCAGAAAAGGCAAGTTACGCAAGCTGTAACCTGGAAGCAAGTCGTACTGGATTCTGTAATTGTCACTCTGCGGGGATTTAGGTAGAATACCAACCTTGCTTTATCAATCCATCTCCACTTGGGAGTGGTCTACACCCATCCTGCTTCCCTCCAGGTAGGAGAGCAATTGCGTTATAAATCCATGGGGCTTCTCTAAGATAACATTGGTGCTGCCCCTCTATGCAACAGCAAGTTTGTTAGTCTTTTAAGGCGCATCATGGCTTTGACTTGGATCCAGCAATGTGTGAACGGAAAGGAAGGGTGTACTTCGCGCAGTTCAGCTTGCACAAGTTGTAGCTCAGCAGCGACACACAGGCTGTTAATTTGTACTGAAACACCAGTATGCATTTGGAGAAAATCAACAGGTGGTTCACATGATTTTGCTTAATAAGATCTCCAAATTTTGGAAAAATTTAAAAAAATTAATATTAGAGATAACAGAAATAGAATTGACGCAATCGCGCAGTCGTGAGAAAGGAAGGGAGAAGCGCCTCTGCCTGCTGAGCTACGCCATGGACATTACCATCCACCACCCTTGGATACACCGGCCCTTCGGCTTCTCTCCGTTCTTCCCTCCCCGCCTCTTCGACCAGAGGTTCGGCGAGGGGCTGCTGGTATCCGACATGTTCTCCGGCATGAACACGCTCAGTCCTTACTACTCGCGGGTGCCTCATATCCCGGACACCGGGCTCTCGGAGGTGAAGCTGGATAAAGACAAGTTCTCAGTCCACTTGGATGTGAAACACTTTTCACCAGAGGAGCTGAGTGTGAAAGTTGTGGGAGACCACATTAAAGTGCATGCCAAACATGAGGAGCGCCCAGATGAACACGGCTACATCTCCCGGGAGTTCCACCGCCGCTACATGATCCCTAAGGGGGTCGACCTGGGTTCAGTCACCTCAGCACTGTCTCCAGACGGGGTCCTCTCCATCACAGCCCCCGTTGCCCAGGGTGCCCTTCCCCAGGAGCACACCATCCCCATCAGCCGCCAGGATAACCCTGCGGTTGCTGGGAAGTAGTCGGGGTACCTGCCTGGGCCCGAAAGCTTGCTCTCATTCTCCTCTGAAGCCAGCATCGTGGGCCGCCTCTCCTGTCAACAGTAGCCAGTCAGCCAAAGACTTTAAGGAATCCCCATTTTGCGCTCGAGCAGAGGCTCAGTTGCCCCCCCACCGATGATCTTTGAGGGCACGTTCCTGTACGCGAGAAGCTGTCCGCCAGGAGGGAGGGAGGGAATCGTGTCTCTCTTCATATCTCTCTGCTACAGGCTTAACTTGTTCATGCTGAACTGTTTGCTCTCCATAAATAATGGATACCAAATTGCATTTCCTTAAAGTCATTGTGAAAGTTAATTTGGATACTCGGTTAATAAAACTGAGGTTAATGCCCTTGGTTGTAAGATTGTTTTGTGGGTGGAGGGTGGGAAGGCCAGATAATTGTCATTCAACGTCTGTTGGTGGGAATCCATTGAATGCAGCACAGTTTTTCTAACCTTCACATTCAGAAGGCAGTAAACCTCTAAATACCAGTGCTGGGAGGCAACACCAAATGAAGGCCTCAGCCTGTGTGTCCTATCCAGAGGAACTGGTTGGCCAGTGTGTGAGACTGGATGCTGGACTAGATGGCCCACTGCTCTAATCCAGCAGGGCTGTTCTTATGTTCCCCACTGAGTAGCTTTCGTTTTTCATGAGAACCAAAGGGAAATGATGTACCCAAAGAACATCATAGGTTTGAGAGCCTCATGGGAAACCATGGGAAAAGCAGTTTGCAAGAGAGGTGTGGATCTGGGGAGCTACAATTCATGAAATAATCTTTCTTTACTTACCTACACACTCTAAATCTTCGTAATGCAAACAACAACATCCCTGTGAGGGTTTTTTTGGGGGGAGGATGACATGTTTCAGCAGAGAAAACAAATTCCTTAGACTTAAAGGCTCCATGTTTACTACAGTTCATGCTTTGGTACAGTCATGGTTAAGAGGTCTTCAAGCCAAGTAGTGGCAAAACTGGCTGTCTAACTTGGGGGCCTTGCTGACATGGAGGTCCTGTGCATCTAACCCTAATGGGGGGGAACACTGTGTCTCTGGGTACCAATGAACTATGCACGTGCATAGGGCAAACAGTAGCTGGAGGCATCATCTCGAGCAATGGACTTCAGGTGTTGCTACTTGGGATGTCCATTGTGCAATGTGATGCCTGGTACAGAGAGGAATTAGATCAAGATCTAATTCATTTTATATGTGGTTCTCCCCTTTGTTTCCCCCTTACAACAGCCCTGTGGGGCACATTAAGCTGAGAGAAGAAGAGGCCCAGTAAGTTCCAGGACAAGTGGGCTTTGCATGCAGGTTGCCCTGATCTTTTAACTACTACACCACACTGCCTTGCAAATGTCTGCTAAGGCTTTTTGATGCTCTTTGGAAATCAGTCTGTGGCATAGATGACGGAAGCACTGGAGGTTTGACACAAGTGCCATTGCCAGTCCCCCCCCCCCCCCCTAGAGGGCGAAAGCAGGCTGAGTGTTATTGGAGCATTCTGGGGCTTGAGCGGTGAAATCCTTTGCCTGGTACAGTTAAGCACAAGGGTGGGGAGGTTTAAGTTAAAGGGGAGAATACAACTCTGAGCTGGATAGTCTAGGCCAGCCCGCTCACATCAGATCTTGGAAGCCAGGCAGGGTGAGCCCTGGCTAGTACTTGGATGGGAGACCACTAAAGAAGTCCAGGGTTACTGTGTAGGTGCAGGCAATGGCAGACCACTCCCGTTAATCTCTTGCCTTGAAAACCCCAAGAGATAGCCCTAAGTCAGCTGCAACTGGATGGCCCTTCCCCCCACCCCCAAACACACACCCTGAACTGCCTTAGGGTTAATCCTGACACCACATGTCTTCCACCTATAGTCTGTTCAGAACAATACCAAGCACAGTATCCAGCACAAAGAACACCAGTTAAGAACATAAGAGATGCCAATGTTGGATCAGGCCAAAGGCCCATCCAGTCCAACACTCTGCATCACACAGTGGCCAGAAATACCAGTGCCATCAGGAGGTCCACCAGTGGGGCCAGGACATTAGAAGCCATCCCACTGTTGACCCCCCCCCCAAGCACCAAGATGACAGAGCATCACTTGCCCCAGAGTCCCTATCTATACCTTGTGGCTAATAGCCACTGATGGACCTCTGCTCCATATGCTTGTCTAATTCCCTTTTGAAGTTGAAACCAGCCAGGGCTTGAACGTTCCCAAGGAGCTGGGCAGGGGGGGTAATGCCCTCGATCAGCACACAGCCCCTAAGCAGGGATTAAGAGAGGCACACATTGTCAGTGCTTGTCTGCAAAGCTTTAAGGAGCTTGAGTGCTAAAAGAAAGTCAAGCCACCTGGCTTCTGCCCAAGAAGAAACTTGGAGGCCGCCTTGTTTTGGCCTAGACTTTCTTCTTTCCCCCCTGCTGTCACTTAAAATAAGCAACCACAAAGTTCAAAACCAGAGGCTTAGTATTTCTGTTAAAATACCCTAGCTGGTTTTTTGGGGTGGGGGGGAGAGACCATTGTCTAAAGGAGCTACAACTCATCACAATCAGGATTGAAAACATCATCTGGAGAAGAAAAAAAACCCTGTCCCTTTAAGAGCTTAATGGGTGGAAATGAGCAGGTGAAGTATTTCAAGGCATGGAGCTAAACAGCATCCACCTGGTCAAGAGTACCCCAGTCAGCCTCTCTCAAAGGGGCAGGACACTTTTTTTCTCTCCAGGTTGCTGGCAACTATTCAGAGGTAAAGCAGAAAGGAGACAAGGGGGATGTAGATATTTATAGTCTGCTTTTCTACCCAATCTGCACCCAAAGCAGCTGACAACATGCTTCTCCCTGCCTCCATTTTATCATCGCAACAATCACCCTGTGAGGTAGGCTAGACTGAGAGTGGGTCAAGATCACCCAGTGAGCTTCAGTGGCAAGAGTGGGGATTCGAACCCGCGTCGCCCAGATCCTAGTCTGATAGTGACCGCTCTGCCACACACTACTGTGTCAGAAGCGTGCAGAGGAGAAGCTTGGCTCCTACACCTGGACCGGGTACTGCAAGATTTTTATAGGGGGCTCTTTGCGTCACCCTTTATGCCCAAGAGTAATTGCACTGCTGACAGTCATAGGTCTCAACTACTGACTCTCTGCAGGGGCTGAACGGCTTTTCACAAAGGAGACAATACTGTGAGTTTTGGAAGCTCACTCTTGGCTCAGGTCCAAGGCCCACTCAACACAGGGTGGGTATAGTGCTTGGTTCAAGATAATACAGAAACCTAAGTTGTACCAGTTCAGACATGAAAGTCACTGGGTGGGCTCAGGCAGGTGCTGCCTCTCAGCCGAGCGTGGTTTTGCAGGGGGAAAACAGAGCCTCCAGTTACCTGCCCTGCAAGACATACCTGTAGCCAGTTGCCGGTTGTTGTTTTGCCAGAATCGAACATCACAAGGGATGGGGCAGGTACAGTTCTAAGTTGTACAAGGATACTGAGGAAACCTGGGTTCAATGCCCTACCCTTCCCGGAATGCACCTCACTTGATTCTTGCTCGGTCTGACCTACCTCACAGGGTTGTTGTGTGAGGACAACAGAAAGGAAAGGAAAACCCAGAGTTCCCTGAAGAAAGGGACAGGATTTTTTTTTAAGTGATGGATGCACTGTATCCACCCTCCCATGGTTAGGATCTATGTGCCCACAGCTTGAAATCACACTTGTCTTCATGGCACGCTTCCAAAAGGTCTCCTTGTGCCTGAGTAATCTTTTCAGACTAGATGGAGTTCAGGACAGGTAGACACCGCAGTCCCTAACTCCAAATGCTACGTTTATTGATACTCAACACCCAATAACCCAGAAAGTGAGGGATTCCGGTAGAACACGGGGCTCATAGGATGAAGGGAATTCAGGTGTGAACCAAACACACCCGCCTTCACTGCCGCTCAAACATCTCCTTCAAGATCTTCATGCTCTCTGCATAGCGCAGCTGGTTCTTGTGCGAGGCCTCTTTCCACCTACGAACAGGAGAAGCTGCATGTCAGCAATGTTCCTGTCCTCCGGCTTTTGCACCCGGTCTCCTCCTCCCGACTGGCGTGTCCCCACTCTCGCTCTGCCTTGCCCACTATGCGGACACCGCCCCACTGCTTCTCACGCTGCCGCTTCCCGTTACCCAATACAGCAATTCACAAAACCAAACAAGGACAATAGCTTTTGAGATTCTTGGAGATGATTTTTGATATTTTTGAGTAAGATGATTTATTACATATGTAGAAATTATTGTAAAAATATTTTTCAAAAAATGTAAAGTTATTTATGATATGTTATAATCGTCTGTGCACGGTACTTGTTGTATGTTGGCTTCCCGTTACCCGGCAGCACCTACCTCTGTCGAATCTTCTTCCACCGTTCCATGTTCTTGTAGATGAGGGAGGACATGGACGGCACCGGGTTGGGAGCCTGGGGCGGAGACACAAGCATCAGCACGCCACTTACTCCAGAGCCCAAGAAGGCACGAGAGGCAAAACTAGAGAGCCAGCATGGTCGAGTGGTTGGAGTGTCGGATTAGGATCTCGAAGAGCCAGGTTTGAATCCCCACCTTGCCATGGGAGCTTGCTGGGTGACCTTGGGTCAGCCTAACCTACCTCTTGGGGTTGTTGTGAGGATAAAAATGGAGAAAGGGGGGGATGGGAGAAGCTGCTTCGGGTCCTCGTTGGGGAGAAATGTGGGGTCTAGATGAAGGAACTAAATAACTACAACGACCCACTTTCATTTAGTATCCTTGGATTTCACCCTTCCTTCAGTGAGCTCAGGACGGCATGTGTGGTTTCCCCCTCTTCCATTTATCCCCATGACAACCACCCTGTGAGGTAGGTTAGGGTATGGGTGACTGGCCCAATGTCACCCAGCAAGCCTCTGTGGCAGAGTGGGGATTTGAACTCTGGCCTTCCAGATCCTAGCCCCATACCCTGGCCCCTGTGCTGGCTTGACCAGCACCCAAACCCCCATGCAAACTCCGGGTTTGGGAAGGATGGGGGCACAGAGCAGCCAGATAAGCTACTTGGAGATTTCCACCCAAGAAATACCCCCATTCTTCCCCAGACAAGCCCAAGATGCTGTTGCCTTCTTCACTATGCACAAATGTTTCCAGATCAAGGTCGGTTCTCTCAAAACACTTCTGTACCCCAACCAATGCTCCCTCTAAGCTATGGAGTTTGTGAGCAAAAATTCTCCTTTGTGAGCTACTATCATTAAAGTGGTGAGCAAGCCATTTAGCCACTGCGTAGATTAGTTTGCTCTGGAGCCCTCCTTCCTGAGGAAAGACAAAAATGTGTGAGCCGGAGGCTAAAAAACTGTGAGCTGAAAACACTTCTGTACCCCAACTCTATCATGCATTCCTCTCCTTCACACAGGATACCGAGCCATGGGCATCCTTCCTGTAGTATTCTGTGTCTTTGTGTTTATACTGCCAGGGATTGAACCTGGGACCTTCTGCATGCAAAGCCGGACGCTCTCCCACTGAGGCAGGGCCTCTCCCCAGCACAAAAAAGCCTTCTCACCATGTCGACAGCTCCCTTTGAGTCTTCCTCGGGCTCCAGCGGGGAAGGGATACGCAGGTTCACAGGATCCCCTGAGGCGTTTGTTTGGCAGGGGGTCGCAGGTGGCAGCTTGTAGACGTCCTGACCCTTCCCGTTCACTCCCTCAACCCCCTGAGGCAGAAGAAACACACATTCAGACTCTGTTCCGCCAGGAAGTCAAATGGGTCACATAGAAAATCTGCCAGTTGGTGTCGTCTAGCGGTCCTCAACCTTTCCAGACCAGAGAGCCCCCCCCTTCCACCTCCAGGTGGCAGCCTAGAGCCCACTGAGCTGGAAGCATGTGACAGGAAGTAGCAAAAAAATTAGCATCACATGGCAGGAAGGAGGAGAACCAGAGTTATGATTTTACCAGTATCAAGGTCAGGATGGGATTCAAACCCTCAGGTCTCCCCAGTCTACGAGTATGCTCTAACCCAGGAGTCCCCAACCGTTTTGAGCCTGTGTGCACTTTCGGAATTCTGACACAACATGGTAGTCATAACTACAAAACGACCGTTACATAAGGGTTGCCACCAACGCTCCCTCTAAGCTGTGTGGTCTTGTGAGCAAAAGTTCTACTTTGTGAGCTACTGGCATTAAACTTGTGAGGGAGCAATTTGGCTACTGCATAAATTAGCTCAGGAAGGATGGCTCCAGAGCAAAGACAAAAATGTGTGACCGGAGGCTAAAAAACTGTGAGCTAGCTCACACTAACTCAGTTTAGAGGGAACACTGGTTGCCAGAACACCGGTGGAAGCGCAATTCCCCCACTGCCCAGCCACCAATCACAAACAAGTGTGGGGGGGGGGGGGAACTTACCCCGAAAAAAGAGGGAGATCTATCCAACGTGCCGCAACATGTCCATGTCACTGCTCACATGACCCAGAAGTGATGTCATCACGTCTAGGTCATCAGGGTGACGCTCTAGTATTTGGGCAAAATCTCTATGGCAGAAGCCAAATTTACCAGAGTTTTTGCTCAAATGCCAGAGTATTGCCCTGACGTCCTGAATGTGACATCACTTCCGGGTCATGTGGGCAGCAATGTAGACATGTTGCTGTATGTCAGACAGGCCTCCCTGCTGTTTCCAGTAAGCCCCCCCCCATCCTCCACAGGTTGCCAGGAGGGACCTGGCAACCCTACCATTGCAGCAGGTGAAGCCAGCTACAAAATCGCAACCACAGGAGGCAGAGCGAACTACAAAATGTCAGGGAGTGAGGTCACGCACAACTCTAATAGTAACTGTGAAGAAATGCATTTTTTCTTTGGAGGTTTGAAATCAGCAAAACCTTCACTCTGAGTTTTAAAAGGTTTTTTCCCCTTTGGGCAGAGAACAGACTGTGAGGGAGGATGTCAGTTCAATTGCCTTCCAGACTTACCTCAGCTCACCTTCATATAAATACTATATAGGACTAGACAGTGAGGCAAGCTCCCTCTCCTCCAAGCAGGGAACTGAGATTGGGAGGAATTAAGTACTAGAGAGACTTCAGGAAGGAAATTTCTGGAAACTTCAGGAAAAGCCTCTTTGACCTGGTCTGACTGGGTTAATGGGAGAGGAAAGGGAGAAGATAAAACTCCTCCTGGGAGCAAGGAGGAAGACTTCTTGGGTGCAGAGTCCATCAGAGCAGACAGAACTCTTGAGGTCCATACGGAGATGGAGAAAATTGTGAAATGTAAATTTAAGAAAGAACCTGAAATATTGCTTTTGGGACTTAAAATGGAAGAAGTGAATATTGCGAAATGGACTTTGATGTGGTATATGATTACAACTGCTAGAATGACTTATGCTCAATGCTGGAAGCAGGAAAAAGCTCCAGAAATCGGGGAGTGGATAAAAAAATTACTTTTTATGGCTGAAATGGACAAAATGACAAGGAAGCTTAAAAATCTGGAAGCAGAAGAATTTTTTGAAGATTGGAAAGACTTTAAAGAATATTTAGAGAAGTACTGGGATATAAAAAACAATTTACTTTGTTTTGAGAATTATTGAGAAGAGCTTGATTTTAGAAGAAGTGTAAATGTATAAGATTATTAGTTAAAAGAGTTGTTACCTATAGAATTTGATTAAGGAGTAAGGAAGAGAAGTGGGGAATATAAGATGTGGGCTGGAGGTTGGAGCACTGCGGGAAGTCAGAAGGGGTGGGGATTGACCTGGTCTGACTGGGTTAATGGGAGAGGAAAGGGAGAAGATAAAACTCCTGGGAGCAAGGAGGAAGACTTCTTGGGTGCAGAGTCCATCAGAACAGACAGAACTCTTGAGGTCTGGATTAGGAGGCCATTAGCCATGTGTTGGCCTGAAGAGCTGAAGGTAGCTTCAAGGTAATGATCCCTCTCTAGAGATCTGTAACTTCCTAAACTAAGGAGCCTGTCCTTTATTTTAATATCTGATAGGGCATGTATGGAGACAGGAATTCCATTTCATCCATTTCTTTTGAATCCCTTCCTCAGTCTCGTGTTGTGCTAAAAGTAAGCTTGTGAACAATTTATTTTTAATAAATACTTTATAACTTTGGATGCTGTAGTGGTTCTGTATACCACCCAGACCTCCACCATCATGGACATGCTATTTTAAAAGGAGTGCAAGGGGGAAGGCAGGCGGCAGGTGGCTATTCTTCCAGGGGCACACAAGGCAGTGAACTGTCCCCGTGGTGACCAGGCGCTGGGCAGTGGGAGACACAGAGGCAAGGCCTCGGAAGAGAAGCTAGGAGTCCTGACTCTCCCAGTGGGCAGTTCCTACAAAGATCAAGTGGTGGCAGCGGGTTACCGGGAAGAGAGAGAAAATACTCTCCAGGTGTTGGGAAAACGTTGGAGGGCAGGGTGGAACAGGGCCTGCAGGCTGGAGCAGGCCCGTTCCACCACGGTAAGCTTTGTTTAACAGGATGCCATTCAGAATGAATGCATTGTTTAGAAATAGTTTCTTGCACACGCACACACAGTAAGGCAGTGTAGATCCTTGTGCTGTTGCTAAAGCAACTTTTGAAGAATCTGCACAGCCAACCAGATCTCCCATGGACAATCAGAAGCTCTGCTGGGCAAAAGCCCCACCTGGCCCTGCCCACTTTCTAAAAGCACATGGCAGGCACCAGGAAAGGTGTTGGCAGGTGCTGTCATGCCCCCACGGGCACCATTTTGGGGACCCCCCCTGCTCTAACCATCATACCACACTGCCTCTTCAAAAGATGGATAATCTTTGAGATGATATTTAGGCAAAATCGCTACGTGAACAGTACAGAATCACAACAGCTTAGTTCTCCTCATAAACAGGTCCAAGACGCCCCTTTCTAGCCAGGGGTCTTTCTCTCTGGGTACCTCTTCGTCCTCCGGCAGGGGGGGCAGTGTCGGGCTGGGAGACCGCTCCTGCTCCCGCACCATGGGACTGTTGCGCATCCAGGCCCGACAGATGGGGTACAACGGGGTGCTCTCAGAGAACTGTGCGAGGTCCACGCTCCGGTCAAACAGCTTGATGACGTACGTATCTGGAGAGGGTGGGGGGAGCACGTTAGGAGGGGAAACCAAAAGGGCAGCCTCTTCAGTGCCAATCCCACGGAAATAAGTTTCTAGAGGAGAACTCCCCCCCCAAGAATCTATCTACCTATCAATCTACCTAGTATGTTTTTCCAAAATGCTTACCAAGAAGAAACCGTTGTAAGGTACCAAGACCTGTTAGACACTCGGCAAGAACTTAAAACAATACAAAGATGTAACTGGTGGCAAAAGGTGCAAATTGAGTCTAGATACAGTAAAGATAAATCAATAGGTTTCTACAACAATCTCTTGGAAATAGGTAAGATCTTGATGTATATAGATCGGAAATTTATTTTAAAAATGGTGAAGAGTGTTATGATAAAATGGGCACAAAATCTGGGACATACTATTGATTTGGATCAATGGGCACAGATTTGGAAAAAAAATATAATAATTACAAGAGCAGTCCCATATAAGGAAAATATGTATAAAATGTTCCACAGATGGTACATTACCCCTGATATCCTGTCAAAAATTGACCCGAAATGTTCAAATGTATGCTGGAAATGCCAAAGTAAAGTAGGATCTTTTTATCATATGTGGTGGCAGTGTGAAAAAGCTAAGAGGTACTAGGCATGGATACATGAAATAGTACAAAAAACCCTAAAGGTCTCCATACCCTTTGTTCCAGAATTATTTTTCCTGAGTATTATGCCCGAGCAATGTAATAAAACTGATACCTATTTCATATTGTATGTGATCACCTCAACTAGAATATTGTTTGCTAAATTCTGGAAGAGAGCAGAAATACCACCCAGAAGCGAAATCATTAACAAAATACTCGAAACAGCAGAAACAGATAAGCTGATTCAATAAATTGATTGATTGATTGATAAGCTGACTTTATTTTTGAAAAATCAAACAGAAGATCTATTCGAAAAAACATAGTCAAGCTTCTATACCTGGATTGAAAACTATGATATGTCAAAAAATACAATTAATTAGAAAGTTGAGAAAATATATTTATAAAGCTATACAATCCTGTAAAAAAGAGATGTTACAGTGACAAGACGGTTTATTGGCAAGTAATGAATAATGTAAACAAGGCAAAGTTTTTTCCTCTATGTATCGATATAAACTCTTCCCTCCCCGTCTATATGTTTGTATGTCTTATGTTGAAAATAAAGAAATACTATCAAAAAATCTACCTAGTATGTTTTTATCCCACCTTTCCTCCAAGGAGTTCAAGAGGATCCTTCCCTTCTCCATTCTGCCTTCACAACAACCCTGTGATTGGTCGAAGTTTACTGAAGACTTTTTGTTTCGTCTGGCATTCCCTCAAGGAACCTTCCTTCCTACCCTATGAGCCAGCGTGGTGTAGTGGTTAAGAATGGCGGACTCTAATCTGGGAGAACCGGGTTTGATTCCCCACGTCTTCACATGCAGCTCCTGGGTGACCTTGGGCAAGCCACAGTTCTCTCAGAGCTGTTCTCTCAAGAGCAAGCCTCAAAAGAACTCTCTCAGCCCCACCTACCTCACAGGGTGTCTCTTGTGGGGAAGGGAAGGAGATTGTAAGCCGCTCTGAGACTCCAAGTGAAGGGCGGGGTATAAATCCAATTCTTCTTATAACTATTGTTTTATGACAGTTTGAGAGTTTGACATACATTTTGGCTTTAAGTGTTTTTAAGATGTGCTCTTTGTTAAGCCTTGTTTTAGCTGTTTGCTGCCTTGGTGGCCCTGACTGGGCAGAAAGGCAGGATACAAATCTCACAAGTCAAAGTAAACGTCTGTACAGAGCAAAGTGGACCAAATGCAATGGCTCCGCCCCCTGTCACAAAGAGGCTGCCCCCACCTCCTCAAACATGCATTCACACAAACATGGGCTTGGTGTCTACATGTGGACAAGCTCTAGGAGCACAGGATCCTTCCCCATGTGATCTAGGACTTGTTCTACTTTACAAAGTTGGATCCTATGCATGTACAGTTTGCATACACCTACGTGTTGTGTGCAAAGTGCAATTAGAAAGGAAACAGGATTTTAGTCTATTCCACTGTCTGTTACCTTGCTTTTACTGCATTGTTTTCTACTTTTGCCATTCTATTTTTTTGCATTGTGTCCGATTTGGGGTGTGTGTGTTGCTTTGTTCCTAATTTTTGTAATCATAAGAACTTAAGAGAAGCCATGAAGGATCAGGCCAATGGCCCATCCAGTCCAACACCCTGTATCACACAGTGGCCGAAAACCAGATGCCATCAGGAGATCCACCAGCGGGGCCAGAATCCTACAAGCCCTCCCACTGTTGCCCCCCAAGCACCAAGAATAAAGAGCAACACAGAGTGTTCCTTCTATACCTTGTGGCTAATAGCCACTGATGGGCCTCTGCTCCACATGTTTATCCAAACCCCCCCCCCCTGAAGCTATCTATGCTTGTAGCCACCGCCACTTCCTGTGGCAGTGAATTCCGCATGTTAATCCTCATCCTATTGCATTGTTAGTGAATGTCTCGTGCCATTGGATTGTGCTGCTTCGTGTTGTGTAATCTGCCCCAAGTCTCATTGAGAAAAGCAGGCTGTAAATAAATAAACTGTACTCCAAATCAGGGAAGTGCATACTGGGGGGGGGGGGGGGGGGGATATGCTTAGTCACTCCTTACTACCCGTGCATTGGCCTTATACACTAAATGTATGGCATGTGTAAGGTTTGTAGCAAAAGAGTGAAGTTAGATTGTCTGAACCAAACAGGGGAGAAGGGGCCGTGGCTCAGAGATGGAGCCTCTGCTTGGCATGCAAAAGGTTTCTGGTTCAATCCCCAGCATCTCCAGTTAGGAGGACCAGGCAAAAGATGATATGAAAGACTTCTGCCTGAGACCCTGGAGAGCCACTGCCAGTCCCTGAGTAGACGATACTGACCTTGATGGACCAGTGGTCTGATTCAGTATAAAGGTTAAGCTGACCATATATATTATAAAAGTACAACATTTATTAGGGTGTACACATAATAAATCTTTTGAAATCTCAGTTACCAGAATAATTGGAATGAATATGGCCATGTCTATGGCCCATCATTAATACCAGCAACACAATTGTAAACATATAAGGATACAACATCTGGTCTTTATTTAAGTGTACTAAAGATCTTGTATACATATGTCTGAATGTGTGCCTATACTATGTTGTATAGTGACCACTGAGGAAGGCCCTCTGAGGCCGAAACGCGTTTGGTCTTCAGTTGGAAAGCGTTGACCCATCATGTGTATTAATATTTGATATGCTTTTATTAGTCTGATACTTAAAAAAATTTTTTAACCCGAATATATTTTAATATGTGTACACCCTAATAAATTGTGTACTTTTATAATATATATAGTCAGCTTATCCCTTCTGGTTCGCAGTGTTATCTGGGGTTGAGTTTTTTCCCTTTCCCCCTCCCCTTTTTTCCAGTTTCTGATTCAGTCTAGGGCCCGCTTCATGTGTGTCCAATTTCAGATCCCTGCTCAGCCATGAAGTTCACGGAGTGACTGTCAGTCGTCTCCCAGTCAAACCTTCCTCACAGGGTGGTTGTGAGGACAAAATTGGAGAAGGGTAGGATGAAAACTAGATAACTGAGTCAATGACAGAACTGGAGACGGCTGCTCTCCTTTTAGAAGAAGAAGAGTCAGTTTTTCCCTATCCTAAAGAGGCTTACAATCACCTGTCCTTCCTCTCCTCGCAACAGGGACCTTGGGAGGTAGGTGGGGCTGAGAGATTTCTGAGGGAACTGGGACTGGCTGAAGGTCACCCAGGAGGCTTCCTGTGGGGAGCGAGGACTCAGACCTGGTTCTCCGGATTAGAGGCCACCCCTCTTAACCACTATACTACGCTGGCTCTCAAAGTAAAGCCTTTGAGGCTGTTACACTGAAGAAAGTAAGACAGTAATTAAAAGAGAGAGAAACGTTAAAAGGTCAAAAGCTTTTTAGTTGGGAAAAGATTGCCAGATGAGAGCAAAGTAGCAGAGGGACCTTGGTTTATGCAACCCTGAAAGGCGATGATAGCAAACGGAAGATATTCTTTCCCAGGGCCACCTAACAAAGCAGAACAGCTTTTAGCTTTTCGTTTTTTTAATGGCCGTCTTTTGTTTCATGGGTAGTTTTTATGCGGCTTGATTTCTAATACAGTGGTTCTTGATCATAAGCAGCCTCTAGCAGCACACTGAAAAGGCAGCATAAAAATATGCTAAATACGTAAATCACAAAACAGAACAGATGTACAGCCAGGTTTAAAAAAAAAAGGAAATATTTCTTCAGGGAAGGGGTGAATTATTTTCAAATGGTCACCCCAAAGATATGGCAACAGCACGAGGCTAGCTGACTTCAGGAGATTAAGGAAGCGCACAGAGAACATCAATGGTTGTTGGCTGTGATTCCTCAACTGAGCTTCCATGTCCAGGGACAGTGCAACTCTTATTACTGGAGGCACAAAACAAGGGATGGCTATTGGTATCGTGTTGCCACACAGAGCATTGGACTAGATGGATTTTAACTCACTTTGCTTCTGCTGTCCACCCTCGGCAAGACCATCGTCTGTCTCCTTCCTCTTCTTTCGGCGGTGATGGGAGAATCTGGCCGAGGGCCTAGGAGAGCAAAGGAATTTGATATATTAAAGGTAAAGGTTTCCCTTGCTCAAAAGCCAGTCGAATCTGACTCGAGGGGGCGGTGTTCATCTCCGTTTCCAAGCTGAAGAGCCAGTGCTGTCCGAAGATGTTTCCATGGTCATGTGGCCGACATGACCAAACACCAAGGCACACGGAACTCTAGGTTGGCAGGAGCTGGGGCCAGAGACAAGAGCTGACTCCGGCACTAGGGTCTCGAACTGCCGAGCTACAGACCTTCTTGTCTGCAACTTCAGCATCTTAACCTCTGAGCCACCATGGCCCTATTTGATATATTACAACAGTCCAATTCACTACATCCGCTCTGAAAAATCCCTCCCAACACTAGAAGACGTAGGGCTAGACCAAGAGGCACTCCAGCAGTCCAGAACAGAAGGACTGTGACGTAACAGGCTGCTGTCTTGATCGAGGGAAGCAGTGCAAGAACTTTGGCCTGAAGAGGGCCCAGCCCACAGGATGGGATGGGACGGGACTGAAGAGCCAAGATGCTGTTCAGCCTGCTTGTTCAGTGGTAGGAGCTATTTGTGTGTGTGTGTGTATGGAATTAGCAAGAAAACTCCAGCTGCACACACAGTTCTCTCGCACATCGGCATGTTGCTTGTTTGGATCCTGCCTCAAATTGGGGACGGCCAATAAGCGCCAAAGGAAGAGTTTTCAAGTCTCCCATGCAACCATCAACTGCTAGTTCAGGCAAATGAAACACTTTAAGGAACCATACCTCTTCCCTGGGGCTGTAGGTGATGAGTCCCTGCAACCACAAAACAGAGACGTTAGCCGCTACCTTGAATGCAACAGCAGGAGAAACCCTGCTTTGCAGGAGAACTGGTCCAAGAGGAAGAACACCTGTTCTTAAAAGATGGGGACCAAAGCATATGTTTCTCCCAGAGCCCACAGTAGACGTTCCTGCATTCAAAAGTTCTGATATTAAACATAACTTTTCCCAAACTACTTTGCTGATATTTATTTTGCCAGCCTTACAAGAAAACAACAACAAAACCCACTCAAATAGTGGACATTTCTCAAATTATATCCCCAAATGTTAGCCCCCCCCATTCCTTGGGTATTGTTGGGGGGACTTTTTGAACCTGCCCTTTATTCTTCCCACTCAGTATTCTGGAAGCAAAATGTGCAGTTTCAAATAACAACAACTGTGCTTTTCAAGGAGTTGGAAACAAGAAGAAGTCCCGAAGATTGAAGACTGGATAAAGAAGTTATTGTTTGCAGTTGAAATGGACAAAATGACAAGGAAATTAGATAATAGGGAAGCAGAAGGATTCTATAATGACTGGAGAGATTTAAAAGAATATTTAGAAAAATATTGGGAAATAAAGGACAATTTGTTTTGCTTTAATACTTATTAAGAATAGAATTGAAATAAAAGTTACCTAGTGATTTTAAGAATGAAATATATAAAAATAGAAGAAAATATTGAGCAGGAGGTCGGAACACTGTGGGAAGCCATGTATAAGGGAGGGGGAAAGGGAGGGGGTAGGATGTAACAGGGATTAAGCTAAAAAATTTAAGGTTGATTATGATGAGAATAATATGGAAAATGTAAGGTTGAATATGAATGCTTATGTCCTGAATACATTTTTTCCCCAAAAAGAAGAAGAAGAAGAAGAAGTTGGCACTTCTTGCAAAACTGAGGAAGGATGTGGGGTTGTAAGTCCGCTTCAACACATTCCTGTGTGCACACAGACTTTCTTACAGTCACAGCGCCCATTACACGCCACTGAATGATACACAAAATCTAAAGAAAAGCTAGGGAAGGATTTCCTTTTAGGAGAGAGGAAGGTTCTTGGTGGTGGGGGGGTTCCCTGTATTCTCTATGTTTTAAATTTGGATTTGTAGCCAAAAGAAAGACCTGACCTGGCTAGCCCAGGCTGGCCTGATCTCACCAGTTCTTGGAAGCTAAGTAGGATCGGCCCTGGTCAGTATTTGGGAGACCTCCAAGGAATACCAGGGTCGTGACGCAGAGGCAGGCAATGGCAACCCACCTCTGAATGTCTCTTGCCTTGAAAACCCTACGGGGTCTCCATAAGTCAATAGTGACTTGACAGCAAAAAAAAAAAAAAGCCATAGGGCAAGAAATGGGTGTACATATTTTAGTAAATATATGAAAATTACTTGTTGAGTGCATCTGATGTTGTCTTTCCGGAGTCATCTTCCATCTGCTCCCTGAAGGAATGCACACAAAAGGAGAAACAGGACATCACTAGCCTGGTCCGGCAACCTAGGCTCCTGATCCGAGCTCCAACAGGATCCGTCATTCCTTCCAGGAGACAGATCTACTAGGAGAACAGGCGTCTCCCATCTAAGGAGACCATTTTAGGCTCCTGGAGGTTTTAAAAACAGCACCTTCAACATGTACGTGCCCATGACGCCCAGAGACACTCACCGATCGACATCGCTCTTCTCCAGCAGACATTGCAGCACGGTATCGAGACGGTTCCGCGCATTGGCCGTCTCTAGATCTGTGATGGAGCCACGGGAGAAAGAAAGAAAGAACGGTCGTTCTGGACCATGATCGTCCATAGGAAACATTGGAACACAACAGTAGCTTGAATGCCTTTTTAGTTGGACCGATTAAAAGGTCACAAATTAGAAAGTAGGTTTTAGAGTACCTCAGAACTCTGCATCGGGTTGGATGTTAAGAGACTAAGCAGGAAGGGGGCCAAAAATGACCTTGGGGGTGCCAGGAAAGCTCTTCCACCTGCAGAGTACAACTGAGCCATTTATGGTTGCCAGCCTCCAGATGGAGCCTGGAGATCTCCCAGATGACAGAGCTCCAGATGACAGAGCTTGGTTCCCTCAGAGAAAAGAGGCTGCTTTGAAAGATAGACTATATGACATCATACTCTGCCAAGGCCCCCCTTGCCCAAACCAGGCTCTACCCCACCCCCAAATCTCCAGGAATTTTCCAACCTAGAGCTGGCAACCCTAGAGCTGGTTCAAGATAGTGTGTGGCCCCAAAGCTGCCCAGTGTCTCCTTCCACAGGGGTTAGCCTATCCCTCAGCAGCTGTACTAGTTGCTCTGCAAGGCTCAGCGTGGGCCCAGCCAGGGAGAATGCTGGCCCAGAGGGGATGGTGGATGCAAGGGATGACCATCACTTCTACCTACACCCCCAGTGGCCAGGTCCTCCTCACCTTCCTGACCATGCTGGTCCTAGTGGGCACTTGGGTGACTTGGAGGGAGAACCGGCCCAGGGTTGCGGTATTCTTTTTGTTTGTTTTGTGCTTTTTATATATGCATGTGTCAGAGTGTGTGCACCTGGAAGTCATGGCGACCTCTGGTGGCGGACCCCTACTTGGGGCCTGGAGGATATTCAGAGAAGTGGCTGAGTAAAGCCTGCCCCTGCTTGCCTGACTGCTGGTCTTCCAAGGAGGTCTCCCATCCAAGTACTTGCCAGAGTCGACCCTGCTTAGCTTCCTAGATCTGACGAGATCAGGCTTGTCTGGCCTATCCAGGACAGGGCGGTTGCAGTATTCTTCAGATGGAATGGAAGACACGGGAGGCAGACTTATTTTGTTCCATCAAGCCAGGCGTGGCAGCTTACCTGCTGACACTATTCCGCCATTTTAGCAGAAAGCATCCCTCCCTTGCAGAACAGAAAACCATTGCTGCTTATAGGCAAAAGAATATGACCACTACACCCCTCTCATTGGTCCTGGAGACCTTTCGGTTATAGCCACGGGCCTGACAATACAGGCTAGAATGGTTAAAGTGCCAGACTAGCATATGCGTGATGGGGCTCCAAATCTCCACCCTCCCACGGAAGCTTGCTGGGTGACTGTGGGCCTGTCACACACTTCCTTAGTCCAAACTACCACACAGGGTAAAGTGGAGGAGGGGAGAGTGATGTTGTAAACCACACTGGGGGAGGGGGGAAGTGGAATAGAAATAAATACATTCCAAAAAAACAACAAAAAACCCCCAAACCCAAATGCTACACTATAAATAAATAGATAACGCTGGAAGCGGAGAGAAATTAATTTATTTAGGGGTTTGACGTTTACCTCATGCCACGAATCAAAGCAGAAATGACATTTTGGTTTCTAGTGTGTCTACTAGTGCCACGTGATCTCTAGTTCCGTATTTATTTGTTTAGGGGATTGTCTCAGAACTGAGCAAGTCTGAACAACAGCTATTATAACAATCTGCTATGATTGCCAGGTCCCCCCTGTCCATCAGCAGGGGACTGGAAGGGGTAGAGTTACCAGATCCAAGCTGGGAAACTCCCGGAGATTTGGGAATGGAGCCTGGGGAGGACAGGAACCTCAGTGGCGTACAGTGCCATAGAGTCCACCCTCCAAAGCATCCATTTTCTCCAGGGGAACTGATCGCTCTAGTCTAGAGATGAGCTGTAAATTCAGGAGATCCCCATGTCTCACCTGGCATCCCTACAATCTTCCCTACAGCATTTCAAGGTCTCCTACCTGGCTTCTCTATTTTCACTTTCGCATGCAACATGTTCTCCTCAGACAGGACTCCCTGCACAAGGAAAAACAACACAAACAACATATCACTGTTCAAACCATATCATTGCAAAACTGGTCAACTGACATTTGGTAAAGATTTGGGTTCCTGTCAAAGGATTTTAGCTTTTGATTTAGACAGGGCACTTCGTAGAAGAGTAGCCATGTTATGCTACCTTAGGGGGGGGAAACTGTTGGGAGGGGAGGCCATAAAAAGTGGCTCGAGTTTTCCTAAACCATGCCATAAAGACAGGTGATAAATATGCACAGATTTAGAAGAAATAGGAAGTTAGCATCTGTACATTGTTAAAGATTTTAAGGGTATTTTACACAGAAAGGGCATAAGAAAGGTGAACAGGCAGAAATAAGAACTCTCATCTTCTGTATCAGACCTCTTCCCTAATTCCATCAGGAGATCTGTGTAACTCAAAAAGACTGCACGTCCTCCACCAACACAAGTTAGTCTTCAGAAGGTGCTAGCATTACCTGGCTCCTTTTTCTTACAGCACAAAGTCAGCTTGAGGACTAGAAGCTTCAACAGGACAAGAGTCTGACTCTTGCTCCAATAGACCAAAGCAACCCAGGTCCCGGGGAGGGGTGCTGGTGGGCGCTTTTGTGTGTGGACGTCTATCCTTCCTTTCCTCCCACTCGCCCCTGTGCAATCCCGGCTACCTCCAGCGGCCGATCACCTCGTTCCCCGGCACCCCTTCTTTAGTCCCCGTTCGCACGAATGCATAAAAACCGCCTCTGTTGCACTGCATGCTGGGATTTGTAGGCAGCTTGCCCGGGACGGGAAGCGGAGACACCATGACCAAAAGCGATTATCGTTTCGAAGGGAAACCGTGCAGCCATTTTGAAGAGTGGAGGTTTCCTTTTTTCATGGGAGTTGTAGTTTCTTGCGGAGGGCTCTGTCCCCTTAAAAAGTTTGGAACAAAGTTCGAGTCCACTGGCACCTTTAAGACCAACAAAGTCTTATTCATGGTATAAGCTGTCGTGTGCAAGCACACTTTTTCAGTAAGCAGTAAATTAGCATACAGCTGCATAATGAAGATGTGGATGCAATGAAATGGAAATTACAGTACATATAGGTAGAGGCCGGGTAAGCAGTCAATTAGCATACAGCTGCATAATGAAGATGTTTAACGGATTCAAGGACCAAACAGGCACAACAAGCTTAGTTTATATGGTTACCATTTGTTTGGGTGTAATTCTGGCTACCTACCTGAAAAGTGCAGAGTTACTGAACATCCTTAAGTTGCTGCTTCCCCCCCCCCCCCCGGGGGCTCCTAACAGTTGCATGATAGGCAGTAATAGGGTTGCCAGGTCTGGGTTGGAAAATACTTGGAGACTTTGGGGGTGGAGCCAGGAGAGGGCAGGGTTTGGGGAGGGGTGGGGTGGGGCCTCAACATAGTACAATGCCATACAGTCCACCCTTCAAAGCAGCCATTTTCCCCAGGGGAGCTGATCTCAGTCAGCTGGAGATCAGTTGTAAAAGCGGGAGATTCCCAGGTCCCACCTGGAGGCTGGCAACCCTAGACAGTAAAAAGTCTGAGGTTTTCAAGCATCTCCAGATTGTGTGTGCACATGCGGGAGATCACACCCTTTCAAGTCAATGGGAATTCAATGGACTTCGAAGGATGTAAATTTGCTTAGGATTGCACTGTTATTGTGGCACGTGCTTGCATGGATTAGAGGCTACTCTCAGTCAACAGGCAGACATATACACAAGGATGAGGGCAGGAGTGTCTGAAGGCAATGAAACATAACAGCCCTGGATTGTGGATGCTATCCTAAACTTGGACTCCAAATGGCATAGGATAGTAACTAAAGTGCCGTGCCGGCATACCTTGAAGATACACCGATGTATTTTGAAGATACCTAGAGCTGTGCCAGCAATGGGTTTTTAAATATAGTCTGCACCTCTTGCATTTAATTGTGCCTGTATCCTGTGGTTCACAATTTATTTTCCTCTACACCCTTTCATATCTTGAGGTAACTCACACTGAATTCACCAAGACCTTTCTGATACTGTAAGAGACTCAGCTATTGACATTTGACACTGGACAACCTCAGCCTAAACATTTATATACTTCATCTATAGTCTGCCTTTTTCCTTAGTGGGGACCCAAAATGGCTGACATCATTTTCCTCTCTTCCATTTTATCGTCACAGCAACCATTGAGGAAGGTTAAGCTGAAGTATGACTGGCCCAAGGTCACCCACCAAGCTTTCATGGCAAAGCAGGGATTCGAACCTGGGTCTTCCAGATCCTGGTTTGACACTCTAGCCGCAACACCACACTGGCTCTCTCTATATTAATTCAGAAGGAAGTCCTGCTGAGTTCAAAGGGACTTCGTCCCAGAGCTGTGCACAAGAGACTGCAGCAATGTAGCAGTTCTGTCCTGCAAAAGTAGGACCATTAAGTTCAGCAGCAGTTACTCTCAGGTAAGTGTGCATAAGTTGGCTGAATATTAATATACAATGTGCTCTGGAATTTTCTGTCAGGCGGGTGAAGAAGCAGAGCTGTTAAACTTGCTACATACTGTTCTTATGTGTTGTCTTCCCACACCCTGCCCTTGGACATGCGCCCTAGTAAAGACGCAAACCAGCCACATCATAGCCCCCAGCTGGAGCATGCTGGGAGCAATATCCCCTGTTCCAGACAGCTTCCCATCATTACAGCTATCATCCTCTGCCGGGAAAAGTTGCTAATCCAGTCAGCATTAATTACAGGCCTCACAAATGCTGTAGGGATACCAGATGTGTTCTGTATTTTTAAGGAGTGTTCCTTATTTCAGAATGTCAAAATATATAACCAGGTCTTCTGGTAACCCTTCTGGGGCAACTGGTTGGGCAGTATTTGAAGCAGGTCTGGTCTGGTATGGCAAGGCACAAGTTTTGTTGATGTCTCAGGATCCTTCTTCTGCTGTTTCAAAGCATATTACCTTTTTCATTTTTATTTATTTATTTAATTAATCCTGTTGCTCAGTTTACTGATATTCCTTTTTTGGAACGTTTTATCCTTGCAATTCCCCGAATTTAGCATCATCCATAGATCTAGGTCAGTACATAATGGCCAACTTTCCACTGCTCCTGTGGTTCTTTTGTGGCCTTAGTTGCAGAACAGACAGAAATCTAGTAGGTATATAGTCCCACCCACTGGTATGATGATCAGAGTTGGTAATGACAACCTAGAGAAGAAGTGTCCTTTTAATAGAGGCCTAATAGGATGATATTTAGGAGGCGATGTTTTTACCTCCATGCCGTGAAATCTTCAGCTTCCCATTTACACACACACAAACCTTTTAAAGGGACAGGACATTTTTCTTCAGTCCTGATGCGCAACCTATGATTTTGAAGTGATGGAAAGGTGGACATTACTTTGCCATTTTTGCAAAGGAGCGCTGCCTTAAAGAATTGACATTGACAGCTCTCTGTATTAGGATATGGTCGCCTCTCTTCCTAAAGGCCCTGAACTTTGAATTAGCAGTCGTTGGTTAAAGCGATTTCTGCCTCTTCCAGTGTGGTTTTTCTTCAGAAACTGCTAAACGCCTGCTGTCATTTCTTATATTTATTTCAGAAACCCAAGTTGCTCTTTAACTAAAAGGATATTTTTAAAGGTGAGCGCAAGGCATGACGGTATTTGTCGTTCGTGACCGCCCACCCGAGCACTTACTGGTCTTCAGGGGGCGTTACCCTGTGCGTGAGGCTGGCGTGCTGTGCGCACTCATTTATGGGAACTGTAGTACAATGAAGTAGGCGGTGGGAAGGGAAGTGTAGCCGTTTCCCGAGATCCTCTGCGCGTAGCGACTTCCTTCTCTGGTTGCTAGGTGACCATAAAGGCGGTAAGTTTAGGTCGGGAAGGGTTTCGGGTGCGGGTAGGCCGCGGTCCAGGTTGAGCCCGCCGAGAAAGAGGCCACGGGAGTCGAAGAACCCTGTCATGAACGCGCTGGGTTCCAGCTGAATCTGGAATTAGCATTAAGGATAATGGCGTTAACATGAATGCCAAGAGGACTTTAGCGGTGGATCTTGAGGTGAATCTGTGTGACCATCTCTGTCTTTCTACGAGGAGCTTCGTGAGCTTAGCCGTCTTCCGTTTTATCTTCACAACAACCCTGTGAGGTACGCCGGCTCAGAGTGTTCACAGTTCTCCCCCCCCACACACACCGCCATTTCATCCTCACACAGCAGCATTTTTGTGGAGATAGATGAAGATGGGTAGCCCGGTTAGTCTGTCTGTAGCAGTAGAAAAGAGTAAGAGCCCGGTAACACCTTAAAGACTAACAAACGTTGTGGCAGGGCAGGAGCTTTTGTGAGTCACTGTATCTGGAGAAGTGAGCAGTGACCAGTGTTCCCTCTCAGATGAGTTAGTGTGAGCTAGCTCACAGTTTTTTAGTCTCCGGCTCACAGATTTTTCTCTTAGCTCAGGAAGAATGGCTCCCAGGCAGACTAATTTATGCAGGAGCCATATTGCTCGCTCACTGCTTTAATGCCAGCGGCTCACAAAGTAGAATTTATGCTCACAAGACTCCGCAGCTTAGAGGGAACATTGGCAGTGACTCAGGAAAGCTCATGCTCTGCCACAAATTTTGTTAGTCTTTAAGATGCTACTGAACAGCCTTTTCGGGTAGGCTAGGCCAAGAGAGAGAGGCTGGCTGGCCACAAGGTGATAGAATCAGAGAGTTGGAAGGGATGTCCAGGGTCATCTAGTCCAACCCCCTGCAGAATGCAGGAAATTCACAACTGCCCCCAACCCCAGTGGTGCCGATCCATGCCCAAAAGATGGCAAAAAGAAAAACTCCAGGATCACTGGCCAAACTGGCCTAGAGAATGATTGCTTCCTGAGCCCAAAGTGGCGATCAGCATTTCCCTGGGTGTGTGTAAGAAAGGGCCACGAGAACTAAGCACTGATGCAGCCCTTCCTGCCCTCCCTCTCATGATCTGCCTGAGTCCACAGAATCAGCATTGCTGTCAGATTGCTGCCTAGTGTCTGTTTGAAAACCTCCAAAGAAGGAGAACCCACCACCTCCCGAGGAAGCCTCTTCCACTGAGGAACCGTTCCAACTGCCAGGAAGTTCGTCCTAATGTTTAGCTGAAAACCCCTAGTAAGCTTCAGAGCAGGGATCTGAGTCTAGTTCTTCCCTGCCTTAGCCTTATGTGCTCGGTGCTGGCTCTCACACATGTTATGTTTTTAATCCTATCTCTCTTCTGAGGAGCTCTGGTATCCACTGCCACACTTGCCTTTGGCATTTCTAGCTACCCCCTGCAGGCAGTTAAAGCTAGAAAGAAGAATAGTTGTTTTCCCGTTTCTCGTTTTATCCCGACACCAACCCTTTGAGGTAAGAGAGGCTGAGAGGGAATGACTGGCTGAAGGTTAATCCACTGCACTTCATAGCGCAAGATATTTGAGCCTGAGCCTTCCTAGGCTGACACTAATCACTGTACCATGCTTCCTTTTATGCATGGTTTGAGCATTTTTAGACATGATAGCCAACTAGAACCTCCTTGTTTAGAGGCCGTGTATCTTAGAATGCCTGTTACTTGGACAGCAGAAGATGTTGACTTCATGGCTGCTTTGTGGGCTTCCCAGAGGCTGTCATGACAGAAAACTAGACAGGCCCATGGCCCGTCCCAGCAGGGATGGTCGTACAAAAGCAAATAAC